TAGTAATAATAGTAGTACTAGTAGTACATACTATTACTACATAGTACTAGTAGTATGTCCTACTAGTACTCCTAGTATGTGCTACTAGTAATACAACTACTACTAGTAGTACACTTGTACTAGTAGTACACATGTACTAGTGCTACTATTAATACTACTAGTATTAATAGTACACATGTACTAATACTAGTAGTATTAGTACAAGTAGTACATACTACTACTAGTAGTACTGGTAGTACATATTAGTAATATGTACATATTAGTAATATGTACTACTAGTACTGCTAGTTTGTACAACTAATAATAGTTCTAGTACTAGCAGTACACATGTACTAGTACTAGTAGTACATATGTACTAGTGCCACTAATAATACTACTAGTACTAGTAGTACACATGTACCAGTAGTACACACTACATATGTACTAGTATGTACTAGCAGTACATATGTGTATTAGTACATATGTAGTATGTACTACTACTAGTAGTACTAGTATATACACATGTGTACATGTCTACTAGTAGTACATACTACATAAGTACTAGTATGTACTATTAGTACATATGTGTACTAGTACATGTGTAGTATGTATTACTATTAGTAGTAGTACTAGTACATATGTACTAGTAGTAGTAGTAGTATGAGTAGTATGTACTACTGCTAGTACTAGTAGTAGTAGTAGTACTAGTAGTATGTACTACTACTAATACTAGTACATATGTAGCAGTACTAGTAAATACTACATATGTACTAGTACTAAATACTAAAAGCACTAGTGGTACTAGTAGTGCTACTAGTAGTACTACTACATACTAGTATGTAGTACTACTAGTAGTACATACTAGTTGTGCATACTAGTACTACTAATAGTACATATGTACTAGTACTACTAGTACATACTAGTATGTAATATAACTAGTAGTACTAATAGATATTACTAGTACTACTGTAGCATTACAGTACTAGTATGTACATACTACTACTACTAGTACATATGTAGTAGTATGTACTTGAAGTAATAGTAGTACATACTAGTAGTAGTATGTATGTACTAGTAGTACATATGTATGCACTTATGGTACATATGCACTAGTACTACATAGTACATACTATTACTATATAGTATATACTTGTAGTACATACTACTAATATGTACTACTAGTACTACTAGTGTAATTTGGTAGTGGAGGCTAATGATCTTCCATTACATTTAGGTCATTGGGTTAAGCTAATTGATTGAAAAGAGTATGGAGATTTTGATGAAGATGAATTTGATTCTTGCCATAAAATTTGAAGAATCTGAATTTTGTGAGCATTGTATTTATGAAAAAACAACATAGACGAAGTTTTAAAGCCAGAAGACATACATGCAAAGGAATACTTTATTACATTCATTTGGATATATGGGGGCCTTCACCTACTATGTTATAAGGTGATACAGTGTATTTTATTCCTTTTGTTGATGACTTTTTAAGAAAGGTATTGATGTTCACTCTTAAATCAAAGAGTGATGCATTTTTTGCCTTTAAGCATTTCATTACTGAAGTTGAGAAAAGTACGGGGCACCATGTCAAGATACTCTAAAGTGATGATGGGAAAGAGTACAAATTTTGATGAGATCATAAAAATTTTATAAAGATGAAGAGATCAAGAGGTACTTTACTAATGTTTACACGCCCAAATAAAATGATGTTCTGGGAATGATGAATTACAAATTGATGGAGCGAGCTAGAAACATGTTGAGTAATGCCGGATTGATCAAAGAACTATAGGCCAAAAGCATGATAACACCTTATTATCTCATCATTCGATCAAATTCGAGCAGCTTTGGGGGACAAAGTACCCCAAGAGGTATAGTCTGGAACCCATTATGATTAGTTTGATTTAAAGATTTTTGGTTATGAAGCCTATATTTTAATTCCTAGTTGTCAAACGAGTAAGCTTGAACCAAAATCAAAGAAATACATTTTTTGTTGGGTATAGCAATTGTGTGAAAGGATACTGATTATGGGATCCATGTGCCAGGAAAATAATTACATGCTGGGATATTCATTTTGACGAGTCCTTAGTGTTGGCAAGATCTGTAGGAAGGGAGACTAAAGAAAAGGAATAATCTCAAAATGATAATTACAAAATTGATTTGTGGCCCTCTATTCCAAAATCTAATGTGGGCCATATACAAGTGTCAATGAAGAAGCCATTGATAAAAAAGGGTAAGTTTATAAACCAAGTAATTCACATGAAGAAGTAGCACCATCCATACCAAGACAATTTACAAAGATAATTTGTCTACTTGAGCTACTTAGGGTTATGTGGGTCCTTAATCACTATTTGTTTTAGTGGCTATGAATGAAGAACCAAGTACTTATCAAGAAGCTATGAAAGAGATGATTCGATAACTAGGAAGAAGGCAATGGAAGAAGAAATGTTAGCTCTTAGGAAGAACAAGACTTGGGATTTAGTAGAATTATCAAAGGGTAGAAAAGCAGTTGGTTGCAAGTGGGAGTTCAAAAGCAAGAAAGTGATTGATGAAAATATGGAAAGATATAGCGTGAGGGTGGGTATAGGGTGAGACTAGTTGCGAGGGGTTTTGTACAAAAGGAAGGCGTAAACTTCCTTGAAAGTTTCACATTGCTTGTCATGTTGGACTCCATTAGCTTGGTGTTTGAGCTTGTTGCATTGCATGATTTGGAACATGAACAAATAAATGTAAAAATGTCCTTTTTACATGGTGAGCTTGAAGAAGAAGTATATAAGCGATATTTAGAAGGGTTTTTTGAAAAACTAAAAATAAAGGCTATTATACAAGTTGAAGAAACTCATATCTGGAGTCAAGCATGCATCAAGATAATGGTACAAGACTTTCGATTTGTTCATGGTAAGTCTTGGATTCCGAAGGAGTGATTATGACCATTGTATTTATATGAAATTATTTTACGATGGCTCCGATTTGATCTTAGTCTTTTATGTTGATGACATACATTTAATATGTAAGGATAAAGTTAGGATTGATGAGCTCCAGGCATCTTTGAGCAAGAATTTTGGAATGAAAGATCTAGGGCTGGCAAAATAAATATTTGGAATTAAAATCCAAAGAGATCTATGGAGTGAGACTTTCACAAAAGAGTTTTGTAGAAAAGACGCTTTATAAATTTGGCATAAGACAAAACCGGTGAAGAATCTATTAGCTCCTCATTTTAAGTTGTCCTCCGAGTAAAGTCAAAAGATTGAAGATAAAAAGAAACTATGATTAGAGTGCCACATGTAAGTGTTGTGGGAATCCATGTTGTTTGCCATGATATGTATTAGACCAAATATTATATATGTAGTTGGTGTTTTGAATTGCTTTATGGAAAATTCTAGAAAGGCTGATCGAGTAGATGCAAAATGGGTGTTTCAGTATTTGAGAGACACAAGTGATTATGCTATAACCTTCAACAATGACTTAAGGCATATTGAAGGCTATGTTGATACAAATTATGTCGGTGACCTTAGAAGAGGAATATCAACTACCAGTTATGTTTTCAAGTTTGCAAATAAACTAGTAAGTTGGATGTCTAAGCTTTAAAACATGGTGGCATTATCAAGTACTAAGGCTGAATATAAGATGGCAACAAAAACAAGCAAAAAAATGGTTTGGCTTCAAGGTGTTATGTGTGGATTGGGCATCAACTCCAAACCCATGGAAATACTATGTAATAATAGGAGTGCCTTTAATCTAAGAACCCGTTTAACTATAAAAGGACGAAGCACATATTGGTCCGATACCATTTTGTTCGATAAGTTGTTGAAGATAATTTAGTTTGGTCGGTGAAAATTAGAAACAAGGAGAAAGTGGCGAATATGCTCACAAAGTCGGTTCCATAGAGAAGTTAAAATGGAGCATGGCTTCTCTAGGTTTCATGAAAAAGCAAACAAGGAAATTATCAGGAAGACAAGTACGTGATGTACTATTAAGGTGGAGATTGTTAACATTGATAGAAAAGTTTTTGGGGGCCTTTTAGTCACTAAACAAAAATGAATGATATAATATGTGTAGAAGACCATTGGGCTTATGTTTTTTACTCTTCTGATTTTCCTTTTTGTAAAAAGGAGAAAGAGAAAATAATGAAGAAGATGCTTATTGTCCCCATTTATGGAGAGATTGTATGAGCTTGTATTTCTCTTGTTTTTAGATCATCTAGAGTAAATAATCAAGGTGATGAAACGTGGATTTAATCATGGTGATGAATCGTGGGTTTTGGTAGTTCAAGAAGATGATTTGGTGAATTTTTTTTTCACTGATTTTTTCCACTGAGGTAAAATTATATTTTCTTTTGACAGTGCATTATTTGCTTGTTGCCTTGCCCATGGACATAGCCTTATAGGGTGAACTGCGAAAAATTTAGTATAGTGGTTTGTTCTTCATTTTCTCTTGCGATTTGGTTATCCTTATTTATTTTTCTCCTAGTTTTATTGTTTACGATTGCTTGGGTAGTCGATGATTGGCTTATTTGAGATTTTGGGGTATTCGAATCTTCAACAAGTTCAAAATTCAGACTTTCAAATACGAATAAAAAAGAATTTTGAAAAATAATACCTGTGGAATTACCTCGAATATAAATGGCTTTTATTATAGACTGTCTACCTAAGGACCATTTATCTTTTGGTAATTGAGGTCACAATCATTATTGTCCCTTAAATTCTAAAATGGGTGGTTGTAAGAGCGTCATTGAATACACACAACGTTCTAAAAAAACAATTCTTGTGACTTCATAACTCACACTAAGGTATCCAATTTAACATCTAATGAGTGAGAATGGTCGTGGTTCATGATGTCTGTGTAGAAAAGATAAAAACAATCCACTTTTTAATTTAGTAAATGTTAGCGCCCACATAAAATATGAGGATCTCTTTGACCATTACAAAGTTTTGGACTAACATAAATGCACGTCAAGCGAGGGAGATCCCAAATCTATGGCAAGAGAAAGACCCCAAAGGCCCAAACCATGCACATCTGGCTGCGATAAACTCTTGTAGTTTCATTTCGAACAGGAAACTCCATGAAAAGATCCCTATTTTCATTTCCAATGCATACAACATTCTCTCAAACTTCTTCTTAAGATCACTTATTCGTTTCTAACACGAAATGCAAATAATACAACGCATAGCTCACTTTATGCTTACCCCAATAATCTACATATCAACTTAAAAACCAAGAAATAAAAGAATCACCCACCACACCAACCGCTCTTTCTCTCTCTCTCTCTCTCTTTAAAACCCCACCAAACGCACCTCTCTCTCTCTTTACGTTCCCCGTTATTAACGCCCCCCCAAAACTTTCCATATAAAAAGACCCAACTAAAAGCAACAATCACTCAACCAAGAAAGGCAGACGCATCCACCTCTACAGAGAAGTTAGGTATAAGCTGAGGCGACCCAGCCTTCTCCGAGCCCGCTTCGTCATAGGGCTCGACCTGGTTCGTTCCATAGGCCGGCTTCATGGTTCGTCGCCTCAAAAGTGGGTCCATAGCGCATTGCCTTGGTTGAGTCTGGTAAAACACTTTCGACACCACCAGTTCACCATCTTTCTCTTCTTCTTGTGAACCCAAGTGATACTGGTGCATAACCCAATTGGTTTTCTCAGGCTTCTTTTGCTTGCCATAGTTTGTGTAGAGAACCAGAATTTTCTTGTAGCCTTTTTGCGTGCCACTGGTGAAGACGGGCCTTGTTTTGCCAGTTTTGTGCCATCTCGTTTCGCCTCCTTGCGGGCCTGTGTGCACCTTGCGACGCTTTCGTGTGCCTGTGGTGTAGGCTTTGGAGGGGCGGTGGAAGAAGTGGCGAACGTGCCCATCCCTTCTCACTCCTGCAAGCTCTTTGGATTTTAGAGAGAGAAGCTTCTGTCGAGGAGAGATGGTTTTCTTATGGAGTAAAGAATAGTAAGTCTTTTAGGAGAGAGAATTGATTATATTGGAGAATGGAATGGATTTTCGAGATTATGTTTAGAGAGAGGAATGGTTCATACAGTAATGGTTATATATATATATGTTGGAAAAGTTTATATAAGGTTGCAACCTTAAAATGTAGAATTGCATATGCACCTCAAAAATCTATCGAAAATGTTATTTTAATGTTGAAAAAATCATCTAATCGATCGTCTTGACATTGAGATATATAAATATGTAAAAAAATGTTTTTGAGTCTTAAAAATAGTGTATCTTGCAA